TTCAATTCTGCTCTTGTACTGCACTGTAATAAATTACAAGGCCGTGCTTCATTGCCCTGCACCGTGCAGTGGTTGTGGCGACTTGTGTAGTGGCTGGCTGCCCAGATTTGTGTAGCTGCCTGCCTTCAAAATGAGGTCACTGCTGACTTTGTACTGTAGCTTCGCGTGGATGATCACCCGCAGCAATGTCGAAATGTCCAGGTTTTGTAAATTTTCAGGCTGGGAAGAAGACAATTACCGAGACAGTACACTAAGCTTGATTTGCAATGACAGTGGTTTGGGGGGCCAGAAAAACAACTCAGAATTGCACTCCTTGCAAAAAGGGTTACAGAAAACTAAACACAAACTCAAACGGCAGTTTTTTCTGTACAGCACAGCAAACGAATTTAGGGCTAGAATTACCCCACACAAACCCCAAATTTAGGGCCAGTCAGACTTACCAAACCCACACCCGAACCAACACCTCTCTGCACCCTCACCCCCAAACACCTCCTCCCTAGCAATCTCGGATGTTGCCTACTTGGCACACTCTAAAGTAAGGAATCACAACTCGTACACAGCAGGGTGACACATCTAAAGCCCCATCTCTACAAACACTTCGTGTGTTGTATTGGTGTATTTATTGCCAGCTGTAGAAAATAGAAACGAAATGACGGATAGTCGACCAGCAAATACAGTAAACTATGGCTGACTTGTACTGGACCTTGAAGGCCGAGGGTGGAAGGAAAAGTTCTGAGTTCAGCAGGATTGCGTAATTGCTCGAATCAAACGATTCTGCGATTACAATAATTGCAATCATTACAATCGTCTCAATAGACAACCCAGCTCTGCGAGGGTGTTTAGTTTTTGTTTTCTCCGGGCAGCTGTTTGTCATACGAGCAGTTCGTTGACACCCAGCCCTCCGTGGGACCACCATGCTGTACACCCGCTTCTCTCCTCCCTTTCCCACCTTTCTGGGATTTGTTTAGGGTATGGACAGCACGGGGACGAGATGCTGTCATCCAATTCCACCTGGGACGCGTCTGCACGAATTGAGTTGCTGGCTGGCTTTCCGGCGAGCGACATCCACCCCGAAACCCCCCAACCCAGCACCACCCCCTTCTCCCGCACACCCGCATCCAACCAGGCACAGCACACCCCTTCCCCCCTCCTCCCAAACTGCATCAAAGCATGCTTCACAGCAATTTAGTACCGTTACTATTACCGAAAGCACAACATCATTCCGAGCAATGCAAGGGACTTCCGACTCCATGTCTGAACATGTAACTCTTTCAGACTTCAGAGGTTCTTCCAACAGTGCATCCCCCCAACCCCCCCTTGGTTTTGGAATTATATTCTATCATAAAAAAACCGCAATGAGCGTAGAACCTAGTACTAGTCTCCAGAGGCAAGAACAGCAGCAACACGAACATGATTTGATCAATTCTCGGGCAAGGGCTGAACCAGTGGCTTGGGCTGCCGTAGGATCCAGTTCAGGAAACGCACGTCATGATCATCTCCAAAATGTATCTGACCCCCAAGTGACTTTTAGGCAACATTTGGGACGTTTCGCGACCTGACCCTAAAGTCACTTTTGGGACTGTCACTTTAGGCTCCTTTGAGGTCACGTATGGGTAACATCAAGGTCTCATTCGGGTCAATTACAGGTCAACTAAGGGTCACATTTGGCTCTTTGGGACACATTGCTCCCAGGCAAATCCGTCCCACGATTGACTTCGGGGTCACCTTATGGACAGATTAGGGTCAATCTGTGGTCACATTGTATGCTTAAAGCCGCGCCAAAAATCCTCGATATAACATGTGCATTTGTTGTGTATAACAATAACATTCTATAAAATCATGTTACCAACATAATTTGCATTCTACCCCAAACTACAAACACAGCATGGCTACAACAGAAAACTAGCATGATGGTGCTTTGTACATCTGCCCCAGAGTAAATAGATATATTACACGGCTAAAATAACCTGACAACACAAAACCGACAAGCACACTGTAAACGGTGATGGCCTTATTCATGAGGAAAGGCTCTATAGAAGAAAACCAATACATGCATTTTGAAATTATCACCTTTACTGCTCGGTAAACCAAGACGACATCAGGAATGGCATAATGATAGTAATAATAAAATCTTCACGTGATTGTACTTTTGCGAGCTTGATATAGGGGCGAAAGATGTCAGCGACGCAGGAGTGGTGGCGGCGCAGAAATGGTGTCGAACCAACACAATTTATTCACATAATCTTCACAGTGGATATGCACCTGCTTGTAGAGACTACAAAAAGAAAAGGGTTACATCAAACAACCTAAGATGACTAAATGGTGAAAAAGAAGGTGATACTGCATACCTCCATTATCGCTGCCGCACATTCTGCGAGTAAGCAACGGAACGTGCAACGACATACTAATAGGGAAAACAAAACAACAATCTGCTTGGAAAGACGGCATTGATAAATCGCAATGGCGGAAAGAAAAAGTACAACATATTTAGGCAATAAGTTCAACAACAAACAATCAAACGAATCACCAAGATTGACTATCAGTTGTCGCTGAAGACCCTCAGGTTGTTGACACTAGTTTCCTGTAAAAGGAAAGTACATAACGGGTGATAAGGAAGGATATAAATTAGAAGCGCATAGATTTTAGGAAATTTGCAGGAGGCGCGGAAACAGACGACGATGCAGAAACAGCTACATGCATGGCAGAGTTTAATAGTTAGGGAACGAACTAATACGGACTCGTGAACGGCAAGCTAAGGACTTAGGGGCGGAGCTAGGAATAACAAGATAACAAGATTAAAACCAGGGTGCACATTCAACGCGGTTCGGCTTGAGATGTTGGGAAGGGGGTTTGGAGAAAAACAGTGATTGGCTCACGAGGGGCGACAAAAAAATGATTCCGCTAGAGCTTCGGGCATTTCGTAGGTGGCGGGAGGGGGTGAAATGGCGGGAGTGGGTGAAACCGAATGGCGGGAGGGATGAAACAGATTGGCGGGAGGGGGGGGAAACGAAATTGCGGGGGAGGGGGGAAACAAAATTGCGGGGGAGGGGGGAAACGAATTTCGACGGGGAGGGGGAAATGAAATTGCGGGGGCGTGGGGAAACGAAATTGCGGGGGAGGGGGGAAACGAATTTCGACTTGAAGGGGTTGAAAGCACACCTCGTAACCCACTCAGTCAAGGGATAACCTTTGATGCACATTCAGCTGAATGTGCACCCCGGTTTTAAAACATGGAACATCTAGATGGGGGTGAAATGTCGACAAGGTTGGGTTGAGCATGGTTGGTTTAGGACGTGTCCCCTCAACGGCGATCCTGCTACGAGGGTGCAGAGGATCAATTTCGAACGTGGTTACCACTACGTGCAGAAGATTTCAATGCATTACGCAGGAGTTTGTTGCGGTCGAAGTTCATTTTCGACACGTTCGAGCGAGAGAGGACGCGTCCTGATGCGATGAGGCTGGTGGGTGAAGAGAAGATTGGAACCAACACGTCACAGACAATAGTTGTATAAGGTTAAACCAACGAAAGGACGATGTTATGGGCGCAGTGGTCTCGCGATTGTTTGGTAAACTCGAGGCGACGGGTACGATACTCGTTACTTGCACTTGTTTATAGTTTGGCACAGTTGGAAATTTATTTATAAATTTGTAGCGGGGAATCACTGTGCGCTGTTTAGCACAGCGGTTCGATTATTACCAGGCATAAGAGAGGTGAGGAGTTCGAGTCTTGTCTGTCGCACGAAGTCAGATTCAGCACTTTTTTGTTTATATATAAAAAAAAGTAAGTAACTTGGACGTAAACAGTCAGCAACAAGAATCGAACCCACACCCTAAAGCCCCACAGGGATGTCATATCATAAGATCAGTATATTATGCTGCAGGCGAGAATCGAACCCGGGCCCCTCGATCTCAAACTTACTGGACTCCCTGGGCCATATTCGGGTCAGGTTTGGGTGAGGTCATTTTTGGGTCTAAAAACTCGCTGACCCAAATGTAACCATGTTTCCCCATGTGACCTTAAAGTGTCCTCTGGGACAGATGTGGGCAAGGTTCGGGTCAGGCTAGGGTCAAAGTGAGCTTTGGGTGAGGTTTGGGTCAGTGACATTTTGGTGATGATGATGAAGATCATGATGGTGCTGACGTGCAGTTAATACGTTCGTCAACCCGGATCATCATGGGCCCGAGCCAGGATTGCCTGGTTCGGGACCAGATGCAACACGCAGCGGCCCTACAACCACAAAAAGGGCCGCATGAGGGATACAAATGGAGAAAAACTTCTCACAAGCGCATCGTGGCCCGTCAGCAGATAAAGAGGTAAGCTTATCACTCTCTTCGGTGAACCTTCATCATTTGCTTGTTTGCATTTGTAGACACTTTTGAGATTGGTGCTTTCTTCAGTTTAATCCAGTTTCTTTGTAGACATATTCATTGGGTATTATTGGATCCCAAAAAACAATGATTTCCCTTCCTAGTACCACCGTGAAAGTGATGGCCGCGGCACGGTGTCATAGTCTGCTCATGCTAGTAGTAGTAGGTACTTCAAGTAACCGGGGGGTTATGAGCTTATGGTCGACAACTTTTTGGAGAAGTTATAGCCTGCCGCTATCTTCCCTTGGTGCTTGCAGGCTGTATTTTGTGTGCGCGTCCAAGCAAGCAACGGGCTGCCAGGCCAAGAAGACAGAAGACCGCGCGGCTGGAGAGGCGAGGCACCGCCGCTCAACCAGCATCACCGGGCTGAGGCATCAAGGCGCGGGCACCGTCTCAAAGGCCACATTCAGAGGCGGTCTGGATGGCAGAGCATTGAATTCCATTGTGGTCACTGGAGCTGCTGTGGGGTCTGGAGCTGCAGTGGAAGGGTTGAGAGATTATGAGGAGGTGACTGAGAAAGTGGAGATGCCAAGGACCGTGACTGAGATGCGTGTGGTAGTGCGGACAGTATACCACGGCTCACACAACCACCCACCGCCACCTCCTGATGCTTCTACAACCCGCCTCCTTTGCTACTCTTCCCCCTGCCCTGCTGCTGCCGCATGTGCTTCCGTTACAACCCTCGCTCCAGTTGCACCTAGTCCTGCTGCAGCCTGCGCGTTGGCTGCAACCTGCGCTATTGCTGCCGCTACATCATGCGCTCCTGCTCCCACTGCACTTCTGCATCCTGCTGTATCATTCACTCCTCCTTTGAGCCATTCATCACCTGCATCATCAACTCCTGCTACATCACCACGAGCTCTTGCTACATCTTGTGCTCCTCTCACAACCCATGCACCTGTTACTACTACGACCTGCGCTCCCGCTTCTCTCTCCCACCCTGCTATAATCAACATTCCCGTTGCTTCTACAACCTGTATTCCTGCAGCTGCTGCACTGTCCTCTTCCACCACGCCCTTCCCTCCTGCTATGAGCCATCCTCAGCATGTTGCACATCCAGTGGTATCTGAAGCCACTATCCCGTTCCCAGGCCCCAGCATCGAAGCGTTCCCTTCATCAGCTGCTCACACACAGCCTTTTAACACCCCTGTCCTGCCTCCTGATAACTTCTCTCAGCCATGTAACCCTTCTAGTAGCACCATGCCGCCTCCTCCATCCCCGTTCCCACCAATGCTAGGTCCTGCGTGCTCCCACTTGGCCTGTGAAGTGCCAAACGCTCCTCAACCTTCATTCGTTCAAGTCGATGATGCGATGCGCACACAGACAGATCAAGCGCTTCCCGTGCTTCTCGATCCAACAGCCTCTATGGATGGGAACCAGCAGAGGCATGCTTCTAACTGCTTAAGTTCCCAAGAGCTCTGGCATCACCAGCAGGAGCAACAGCAGCAGCAGCAGATTCTGCAATACCACCAGCCACAGCCCGGATCAGAGCGGTGGCAGCAGCAGCCACAGGTGCATCAGAAGCAACACCGACAGAACTACTATCAACAGCAGCAGCAACGACATTTTCAGAGACAGCATCATTCGCCGCCGCCGCCGCCGCTGCCGCCGCCGCCACAGCAGCAGCAGCAGCAGCAGCAGCAGCAGCAGCATCAACACCAGCAGCATCAAGGCCAAAATCAGCATCAGCAGCAACAACAAACGTCTCAAGCGCCCTCAATCTTCCCCTGCATGGAACATTCGCTTTCCTATGAGATTCCAACCACCATTGGCATAACGGCCACTGGCGTGAACACCTATGACATAACCAACACTGGCGGAACCACTTATGGCATAAGCACCACTGGCGGAACCACTTATGGCATAAGCACCACTGGTGGAACCACTTATGGCATAAGCACCACTGGTGGAACCACTTATGGCATAAGCACCACTGGTGGAACCACTTATGGCATAAGCACCACTGGTGGAACCACTTATGGCATAAGCACCACTGGTGGAACCACTTATGGCATAAGCACCACTGGTGGAACCACTTATGGCATAAGCACCACTGGTGGAACCACTTATGGCATAAGCACCACTGGTGGAACCACTTATGGCATAAGCACCACTGGTGGAACCACTTATGGCATAAGCACCACTGGTGGAACCACTTATGGCATAAGCACCACTGGTGGAACCACTTATGGCATAACCACCACTGGTGGAACCACTTATGGCATAAGCACCACTGGTGGAACCACTTATGGCATAACCACCACTGGTGGAACCACTTATGGCATAAGCACCACTGGTGGAACCACTTATGGCATAACCACCACTGGTGGAACCACTTATGGCATAACCACCACTGGTGGAACCACTTATGGCATAACCACCACTGCTGGCGTACCCGTGGTTGAACCTCATGCTGCAGACCCTACTGCCAAGTCGCTCCCTTGTGACAGTCAAACTGGAGTGTTGCAAAGCGGAGACACCAGTGCATGTGCCTATGTCGCAACATGCCCCACCTCTCATCAACTCTCTGGGAAAAGTGAGCCGGTTGAGAGCACCTGGGATTGTCAACCCATGCCCAATACTGGAGGCTCACCAGCACTCATCGCTTGGTCAACCCCAACTATACTAGCTGATTCCCCTGTAACCACCGCCAACCCTGATATGGATGCCTTGGCTGCTTGTGGCAGGGATTCCTGGCCAATGAGTAGGGCCTGGGCCGTGGAATCGAATGCAACATGTGACAAGCAGAATGCAGCTGACGGGGCGAGTTACTCCCATCCGCTTCCTTCCCAGCAACCGCATTTTCAGTTGGAGGGTTATCACGAACAGCAGCTGGAGCCACAACAGCAGCAGCAGCGGCAGCAGTCCTACCAGCAACTGCAACTGGAGCAGCAGCAGCCGCAGCAGCAGCCGCAGCAGCAGCAGCAGCAGCAGGAGCAGCAGCCCTACCAGCAACAGCAACTGGAGCAGCAGCAGCAGCAGTCCTACCAGCATCAGCAACTGGAGCAGCAGCAGCAACAGCAGCAGCAGCAGCAGCAGCAGCAGCAGCAGCAGGCCTACCATCAACAGCAACTGGAGCAGCTGCATCAGCCCAAGCTGGAGCCGTATCAGCAGCAGCAGTCCTACCAGCAACAGCAACTGGAGCAGCAGCATCATCCGAAGTTGAAGCCGTATCAGCAGCAGCAACAGCAGCAGCAGCATCAGCAGCAGCAGCAGCAGCAGCAGCAGCAGCAGCAGCAGCAGCAGCAGCAGCAGCAGCAGCAGCAGCAGCAGCAGCAGCAACAGCAGCAGCAGCAGCAGCAGTAGCAGCAGCAGCAGCAGCAGCAGCAGCAGCAGCAGCAGGAGCAGGAGCAGCAGGAGAAGCAGGAGAAGCAGCAGCAGCAGGAGAAGCAGCAGCAGCAGCAGCGGCCAGCTGCGTACATGGCAGGTTATGCGGGCAGCGCCAATCCCTACAGAAGCAGCAGCGCCCCCATACACAGCCTTCCCAGGCTAGCTGGCCTTCCCACAGGCCACACAACTTTGCATGGCCCGCATGCAAGTTCAGAGCCCCAGAGGATAGTTCCCAGTTGTACAACACATGCACTCCCAAGTGCGGGGACGAGCATGGGCGCACTCTCTAGCTTCCACAATGGCAGTAGCCGAACCGAAGCATGTCAACGTTCAAGGGCTGACAGCAATGGTATGTCGATGGGAAGCATGAGCGGCTGCTCCATGGACTCGTGCATGCATGTGTCGATTCCAGATGCGTGCTTGGACGACCTTCTTCTGATGCAGGATGACTCTGGGAACGGTGGGTTTGGCATTCAAGGGAGTGATGGTCCAGAAAGGGTGTTTGGGCTGGCTGCTACACAGAACCACAGCAGCGAGTGTGCTTGAGTGCAGTCAGGAGATTCTGTATGGAGGGCAGAGGGGTTGGGTGAACCCTGGTTGTCATGGCTCTCACTCACATCCGTAATCATAAGCTTCATCATGGCTTGTGATGTTATCACCAGCTGGTTTTGCTCTAGCAAGCAGTCTGTTATGCTAATGGTAGCGCCTGTTATTCAGGCGCCTTAATAATGGGCAGCTATGCTAATGTGGTACGGCATAAAAGGGAACTGGAAAAGCTTCTTGAGCCAGGTGTGGGCTTCAGTTCTGGTATAAGCGCCATACCGGTACTTTATTTATTTATGAATTTCTTCATTTCATGTATAGTATATATAGTTCTCAGCTTCGTGTTTAACCAGGAGGATATCCCTCTCCCTCTCCCACCTTGGATTCTTTATGGGTTATGCTCCCATTTTTACACACTTGGCTTCGGTTCGACACATTCCATTTCACGGTTCTCAAAAGCAGGTCCCAATGGTGGATGTGATGTGGTGGTGGTGTGCTCTTTTTTACCCGGCCCAGCGACCTGTGCCTTCAGCTCCTCCTGGTATGCTCCTCGTTCACACTCAGCCTGCTTCTAGAATGTTGCACATGCGAATTCTCAAATGGCACGTCCTATACGGGCATGGTGAGCGTGTTGGGTGTGGTGGTGTTGCTCAATTGGCCCGGTCCGGCCATCTGTGCCTTCAGCTTCTTCCTTCAGACCCTGGTTCTCACTCCACATGGTTCTAGATGACCGCGCTTGCGACTTTTCACAAGCAGGTGGTACCGTGTATGGGTGTGGGTGTGGGTGTGCTGTGGTGTTTCTCTTGGACCCAGGTATGGGTGCGGCTGTGCTGTGGTGTTTCTCTTGGACCCAAGTTTGGGTGCGGGTGGGCTGCAACTCCTTCACGGGAGGGGTCCCCTGAGGACACAGGGCTTGGACATGGTGTGTCGTGGCGAGGTGAGGCGACGTTTCAGAGTCGCCACGTCATGTCACCATATGACAAGGATTCATTTGGTGAGGACATGCTTAGGTGTCACAGCTTTTCACTGTGATCACTTCCTACCTAGCATCATTATACCATGCATGCCCCAACTCAAGTGCTAGGCACCAAGGTGCATCTGTGCAGCCAACTTGCATGCCCCTATCAATACACACTGCTGCGTTGAAGCAATCAGAAACACTCTACTGACCAAACAAGCAAGCACCGCAATTGGCCACAGCAAAACTGTTCATGAAGGCAATAAAATACACAAATTTCAAATGTTGAGCACATGTTATAACATGTACTCAAATGAAGCGTTTCACAATGATCCACTGCTGCGAAAGCCACTCACAACGCCAGCCAGCGGCCTAGGCTGCAGCAATCTGGTCGAATTATTTCCCACTAACTGCGCTGTGAATGACCAATGGGAGATGCAAAGATATATCTTCTGTTTGCACCCCAAGCAGACATGCCCCTCCAGGCTTCACACAAGGAAGCAAGGAAGGACATGCTAACTCTGGCACGATCAAAACCAAACAACACGCACACAACCTTTCGAGGCGCCTCGAAACAACTCACTTGCTCCTACCTCCGCGTGCAAAGGGACAACCCCACGTACAGCCTATCGTTGTTGCACACGTATCCATTATTAAGCTCCGCCAGCTTCCGCGCACTGTTCTGGAACTTGAGCGATATGATGCGCGCACAGAAGTCCCCCCGCGTCACCGAGTAGAACGCCAGGCACCGCCGCTTTGACACCGCCAGCTGGCGCCCTCTCATTGGTTGGTCGGAGTGAGACGGGACGAGGGTTGGGAGGAGGCGAGCGAGGGAGGAGGGTGATGGGTGGGAGGAGGGTGATGGGTGGGAGGAGGGTGATGGGTGGGAGGAGGTGCCGAGACCGAGAAGTCTCCCTCGCGTTGAGAACAACGAGGGAGATGATGAGGAGGAGGAGGAGGAGAAATAGGAGGATGAGGAGGAGGATTGAGAGGAGAGGGATGAGGCGGAGGGGAGGAGAGGGGAAGTGGAGGTGAGCTCACGGAGGGAGCGGGGTTTGAGTGGGCCCGGGGTAGCGAGGTATGCATCCACACACACCTGCCATGGGGATGGATGGGCGAGGAACACAGAGGGGGGAGATGGGCGTATGGGGAACGATGTGAGAGAGAGAGAGGGCGATGGGCCCGGGGTAGCGAGGTATGCATCCACACACACCTGCCATGGGGATGGGTGGGCAAACGTGGAGCACAGAGGGGGAAAAATGACCAGTGCAGGAACTATGTGAGAGTGAGGCTGTCACAGCCCACCCCCGGGTTGAGGGAAAAGGAGACATGGAGACCCACCCCCCATCACCACTCTTCACCGCATCCCACACAGCTCACCTGACGCTGTTCCCTCACCTGCTCCCTGCCCCTCACCTGCACTCCATCGCCACTCCAGCCAAAGGCACCGCCACCGACGGAGGGGAAGAGGCTATCGCAGCCCACCCCCGGGTTGAGCGAGAAGAAGGCATGAAGACTCACCCCCATCACCACTCTTCACCGCATCCCACACAGCTCACCTGCACGCCGTCTCCACTCCAGCCAAAGGCACCGCCGCCGACGGAGGGGAAGAGGCTGTCGCAGCCCACCCCCGGGTTGAGCGAGAAGAAGGCGGTTTGGTTGAGAGCATAGTCCTTCATGATGCTCCCACACGTGTCCCCCGACTGCACTGTGTACCACCGCGTGCACATGGGCAGCCTGGGCAGGTCCGTTCCTCCGCTTCCTTTTGCCACACACAGCTGCGCACACAAGGGCAGGAAGAGGGGAGAGAACGGAGGGGAGTGGGTGCCATGATGCTCCACACGTGTCCCCCGACTGCACTGTGTACCATCTAGTGCACATGGGCAGCTTCGGCACGTCCCCTCCCCCACTGCCCTTGGCCACGCACAACTGCACGCATAGAGGCAAAAAGAGGGGAGAGAATACAGGAGAGTCAGCAGGGGTGTGGTGGGAGTGGGTGTAGGCTGTTACACTACATGTATCCCCTGCCATGCCTGCACTGCGTACCATGCTGTGCACATTGGCAGCCTGGGCACGTCCTCTCCCCCGCTGCCCTTCGCCACACACAGCTGCAGTGAGGAAGAGAGTAAGAAGGGGAGTAGGGAAGGGGATAAAGAAGGGGAGCAACTGGGGACGGCGGTGGAGAGGAGTGGGAGGATATGAGTGGGCTGTTGATCGGAGATTTGGCCCCGCCTTCGCTTCGGCGAAGCCGACGTCGCTAGCCAACATGCAAGGTGAGCAGCCGGCTAGGCTTCGTGGTCAGCGCCGACTTGGAGGAGCACGTCGGCTTGGTTGGCCGACCTCAGTGGAAATGACTAGCCGAGTTCGGCGGTTAGCCAACTTCGGTGAAAGCCTCCACTGCGAAGCCGACTTCAACTAACGGCGGATTCGACCTTGTGGTCGGCCGAGTCAGCTTGGTTAGCTGACTTCGAGAAGCACGTCGGCTTGGTTCGCCGACTTGTTGGTTAGCCGACTTCGACGAAGCTGGCCATGGAGTAGGCCGACGAAGTGAAGTCGGCGGTCGACGCAGGTGTTCGTCGCCATCACGCCGACTTACAGGCGCCGACCTGTAGTCGTCGACGACCTCCTTTGGTCGACCATATCTCACCTGCTGGTTCACGGCCGGAGCATTCCAGGCGATGCTATCAGTGCAGTTGATCCCCGGGTTGAGCGTCACCAGATCGTCGACTGTGAGCCAAAAATTGCTCGCCACACCACCAAGCACCGCACTGCACTGCACCGCACTGCAATGTATCTCACCTGCTGGTTCACACTCGGAGCGTTCCAGGCGGTGCAATCAGTGCAGTTTATCCCGGGGTTAAGCGCCAGAAAGTCCTCCAGTGTAAGCCAAAACATGTCGGCCAGGCTCTGACACGTGTCACTTGCCGTCCACGAGTAGTAGAGCACGCAGTGCACCGCCCCCATGAGCGGCGGCGCTATGCTCACTTGCGTGTTGGCCGGGATGGTGTAGCAGTGCTCCATGTTCTGTGATGGAATGGGGTGGAGTGGAGTGCGGTGGAGTGGGGTGTGAGTTACACAAGTGACCAGTGCACCAGTTCACGAGTAGTAGAGCACACAGTGCTCCGCCCCCATGAGGGGTGGCACCATGTTCTGTGTGGGTGGGGTGGGTGGGAGTTCGGGTGGGTGTGCGTTGCATGAGTCCAGGAGAACTAGAGCACACAGCGCACAGCACAGCCCCCATGAGGGGAGTAGTATGGCCGAGAAAGGGCTCCTGTGTATGTGAGGCCGTATAGCTGGTAGACGAGATGAATGCAGAGTTGAAGGAACAGGCTAGCAGCTGAGGGCGTATCTCGCATTGGTGGCAGGGCAACTGTTCACGTTGAGTTGGTGGCATGCGCATTTTCCGGACCCCCGTGTTTTTGGGAACCCTGCCACCATATTGGTGTGACCTTTGAGAATTCTCAAAAGTCACACCGTGTTGTTGGGAGCCCTGCCACCAAGTCAACGCTGAACAGTTGCCTTGACACCAACCGGAGATGCGCCCTCAGAAGGATGGGGTTCAGTTGCCTCAAGAGGACAGACTCACCAGCTGCAGGTTCTGAGCGAGAAAATTCTCCTCTGTGAGGCCGTAAAGCTGGTAGACGAGCGGACAGTCGATGTCTATTGGGAAGGTGACGGTGTAGCTGGGGTAGATGGCTGCATGGAGGGGATTGGAAGGGGGGGGAGATACGGGGTGGAATGAGAAAGAGGGGAGAGGCTAGAGTTTGAGGGAATGAGCGGGCAGTCGATGTCTATTGGGAAGGAGACGGTGTAGGTGGGGGTAAACGAGGTGGGGGTAGATGGCTGCAGGGAGGTGGGATGGATGGAGGGGGGGAGACGAGAGACGTGGAGAGTTGGGGAAAGACGGGGAGGCCAGCTATGGGGAATGGGGATGACGAGCGGACAGTCGATGTCTACTAGGAAGGTGACGGTGTATCTGGGGTAGATGGCTGCAGGGAGAGGGGTGGGGGTGGAAAGACGGAGGGCGAGAAAGAAGAGGAGAGGCGAGAAAGAGAGAGGAAGGTGAAACCACGGTTCAGAAATGGGTTAGAAATCATTTGCTGTGGCTCCTAAACAACACGCATCATATAAGGACAAAAGGAGCCGGGCACTTGAACACTTATTGGGACGCATGTAGGTGTGCCGTCCAGTTGAGAACACGGGTAACAAAAGACAAGAGTAGCCGCCCGCTTGAACACTTACTTGGAACGCATGTGTGTGCGCCGTTGGGGCGATACCCCTGTTCAAATCCCGTCGGACAGAGACAAAAGAAGCCGCCCACATTATCGTTGATGCACGTGCCGACCGCACATGGATTGTCATCTTGCATGCTGCACACGTCAGCTGACAGGGGCGAGTGGGGGGAGCAAGGGGAGGGGAAGAGGCGCAAGGGCAGGGGAAGAGGGATAAGGGGGCGAGTGGGCGGAGCCAAGGGAAGAGGCAGAGGGACAAGGGGAGGGGTGCATTGGGGAGGGAAGAGGTGCAGGGGAGGATTTCATTTGGCAGGGAGGGAAGAGGAGGGAGGGGTGGTGGGGGGTGAGGGAGAGGGACGGAGGGGGAGATTTTTATTATGCGTGCATTTAACAGGAAAGGCAGAAGGGGAGGGGAGGGGAGGGAAGTGGGGCGAGGAAGAGTAACAGGGGATGGGGAGGTCAATGTAAGGTCATTGGTTATGTTGGGAAGGGAGGGAAGATGATGATGCATGTCAAGTGGGGGGGAAGTTGTTTGAGCTTGAGTCGACTCAGAAAGGTCTGCGCGGGAAACTCAACTTCGTTAGAGGGCGTTTGTGAGGCGAGGCACTCACCATATTTTGAGGCGCCTCAAAACTCACCTTCTTTACAGGGCGTTTGTGAGGCGAGGCACTCACCATACACACACGTCTGCGCGCCGCCTTTGTCAGCAACAGGGATGAAGATCGGATCCAAACACGTGCATGCGTAGTTGCTACCCATGCCCGCCTCGCATTGGCCTCCCCCACATGGGTTCTGCGGTGACTGGCATGGCATGGGCGCTGGTGCGGGGGGGGGCAGGGGGTAAAGGGGGAGGGGAGGAGGGTGGGAAGAGGTGACAGGCATGGCAGAGGGCAGAGGGCAGATGGCAGAGAGCAGAGAGCAGAGAGCAGGGGGCAGAGGGCAGAGAGCAAAGGGCAGAGAGCAGAGGGCAGAGAGCAAAGGGAAGAGAGCAGAGGGCAGAGAGCAGAGGAGGTCTACTTACTCTGGATGATGGGGTAGAGGGCCGGCACTGAGTGAATGCCACAGATGCCAACGCCTCCCTCAAAGGCCATTTTCATGTATCCCTGCACTCAGAAGAAGTCATGCAGAGAGTGAGAAGGCAGGCAGAGAGTGGGAAGGCAGGCAGAGAGTGGGAAGGCACGCAGAGAGTGGGAATGCACGCAGAGAGCGATTTGTAGAACTCTATTGCAGGCGGTTTTTTTTATATATCACAGAAAAACGACATGCAAGAGAAAAAAGCCCCGCATTCCCACCTGCATGCCCCAGGAGGCCCCCCAGGAGTTGCGGAGAATCCAGTAGGCGCCCTCCACCGTGGTGATGTTGTAGCCCATCACGACCACGCTGTGATCCACCACCCCCGCCGCTGCACACCCTGGGTCGCCGTATATGCCCTGGGGCGGAGGGACGTGCAAGGACTGGCATGGCAGGTTAGGTCACCCCACCCCACCATGAGTAGAGTAGGCGCCCTGCCCGAGATGCTGTAGCCCATCACCAGCACACTGTGATCCACCACCCCCGCTGCTGCACACCCTGCGTCACCGTATACGCCCTGGGGCGGAGGGAGGTGGGGAGGAATGGAGAGGGTGACGTAAGTGCAATGAGTGGCATGGCACGTGAGGTGAGATCACACCACCATGAATAGGCGCCCTGCGAAGACGTGATGCTGTAGCCCATCACCACCACACTGTGATCCACCACCCCCGCCGCTGCACACCCTGCGTCGCCGTATATGCCCTGGGGCGGAGGGAGAGGGAGCACAGTGGCGGGAGAGAGAGAGCACAGTGGCGGGAGAGAGAGTTCACAGTGGCGGGAGAGAGAGAGCACAGTGGCGGGAGAGAAGTGGAGGGGTGGGAAAGGGGAAAGGTGAGGAGAGTGCAATGCATGGTGCCTCTCACACCCCCTATCACCAGCACACCTTGCATCGCTGTATGTGCCTTGGGGGTGAGTGGGGGATGGAGGGCGAGGTGGGGGAGAAGGGAAAGAGTACGGAGGGTGCAATGAGTGGGATGACAGGTGAGATCACATCACACCGCCTCACCATGAATAGTAGGCGCCCTGTTCTGAGACGTACCTTTTTGAGACGTCTTAACAAGATTCTTCGACTTGACTTTATATACACCAAACAACTATTTCCTGTCTTCACCTCTGTGTAAGCTGTCAAAATCTCAGTCACTACACCACTGGAATAGAGAAGATTGTTAAGCGGCGGGTCAGTGCGCCCATAACCCTCCAGACCAGCGAGCCTGTAACCCTTCTTTATGATCAATCGGCCATCCCCAGTGCTGGTCGTCTGACACCCCTCCTTATGACACGGCACAGCGGCAGCGCCAGCATGTGCACACATGGGGATTCGCACCTGAGACCTTCGATTTGATACCATGTCAGAATCCCAGTCACTTGATCACTTGAATAAAGTGACTTGTTGAACGCCGGGTCAGTGCGCCCAAAACCTCTCAGACCAACGAGCCTGTAACAATTCGTTAGGATCAATCGGGCATCCCCAGTGCTGACCTTTTGACATAGGCCTGTGACGTGGGGTAAGAGCCTTTGAGTCGGGCTAAACATGCACCAACAAAGTGTTTCCCGTACCTCTGTATGAATCTGGAAGGAGTAGGACCCCTTGCCTCGACTTACATACACTAAACCACTATTTCCTGTACCTCTGTGTAGGCCTGGAATGAGGGGTAGGAGCCTTTGATTCAAGCTAAAATACACCAAAACACTGTTCCCCTTACATCTGTGTAGGTCTGGAAGGAAGGGTAGGAGCCTCGCACAAATGCAATGGTGGGTTGAACCTGCGACAGGGAGGCAACGAGGCGGAGGGGAGTGGGTAGGAGGGGAGGAAAGGGGGGGGGGGGGAGAGGGGAGGGGAGGAAGGGAGGAAAGGGGAAGAGAGGAGAAGAGAGGAGAGAAGGGGAGATGATGAATGGGACATCGATAGCGAGGAGCATGCCGAGCCAGCTGTCTGTACCATAGAAAACGCTTTCTCTGCGAACTCTTGAATAACAAAAGCGAATGTTAACCAGTTTCGTTCGGCACATAGACTCACGTAAACAGCGAGCATGAGGCCGAGCCAGCCGTAGTAGTCCACCTGGTCGTACCCCGTGATGCCTATGGTCGTCGCCTGCTGCTTCGCCTGGGGCAGGGGCGCGTGGGCACATGGGCATGGGAATGGGCACATGGGTATGGGAATGGGCACATGGGTATGGGCACATGGGTATGGGCACATGGGAATGGGCACATGGGTATGGGCACATGGGTATGGGCACATGGGTATGGGCACATGGGTATGGGCACATGGGTATGGGCACATGGGTATGGGCATATGGGTATGGGCACATGGGTATGGGCACATGGGAATGGGCACATGGGTATGGGCACATGGGTATGGGCACATGGGTATGGGCACATGGGTATGGGCACATGGGTATGGGCACATGGGTATGGGCACATGGGTATGGGCACATGGGTATGGGCACATGGGTATGGGCACATGGGTATGGGCACATGGGTATGGGCACATGGGTATGGGCACATGGGTATGGGCACATGGGTATGGGCACATGGGTATGGGCACATGGGTATGGGCACATGGGTATGGGCACATGGGTATGGGCACATGGGTATGGGCACATGGGTATGGGCACATGGGTATGGGCACATGGGTATGGGCACATGGGTATGGGCACATGGGTATGGGCACATGGGTATGGGCACATGGGTATGGGCACATGGGTATGGGCACATGGGTATGGGCACATGGGTATGGGCACATGGGTATGGGCACATGGGTATGGGCACATGGGTATGGGCACATGGGTATGGGCACATGGGTATGGGCACATGGGTATGGGCACATGGGTATGGGCACATGGGTATGGGCACATGGGTATGGGCACATGGGTATGGGCACATGGGTATGGGCACATGGGTATGGGCACATGGGTATGGGCACATGGGTATGGGCACATGGGTATGGGCACATGGGTATGGGCACATGGGTATGGGCACATGGGTATGGGCACATGGGTATGGGCACATGGGTATGGGCACATGGGTATGGGCACATGGGTATGGGCACATGGGTATGGGCACATGGGTATGGGCACATGGGTATGGGCACATGGGTATGGGCACATGGGTATGGGCACATGGGTATGGGCACATGGGTATGGGCACATGGGTATGGGCACATGGGTATGGGCACATGGGTATGGGCACATGGGTATGGGCACATGGGTATGGGCACATGGGTATGGGCACATGGGTATGGGCACATGGGTATGGGCACATGGGTATGGGCACATGGGTATGGGCACATGGGTATGGGCACATGGGTATGGGCACATGGGTATGGGCACATGGGTATGGGCACATGGGTATGGGCACATGGGTATGGGCACATGGGTATGGGCACATGGGTATGGGCACATGGGTATGGGCACATGGGTATGGGCACATGGGTATGGGCACATGGGTATGGGCACATGGGTATGGGCACATGGGTATGGGCACATGGGTATGGGCACATGGGTATGGGCACATGGGTATGGGCACATGGGTATGGGCACATGGGTATGGGCACATGGGTATGGGCACATGGGTATGGGCACATGGGTATGGGCACATGGGTATGGGCACATGGGTATGGGCACATGGGTATGGGCACATGGGTATGGGCACATGGGTATGGGCACATGGGTATGGGCACATGGGTATGGGCACATGGGTATGGGCACATGGGTATGGGCACATGGGTATGGGCACATGGGTATGGGCACATGGGTATGGGCACATGGGTATGGGCACATGGGTATGGGCACATGGGTATGGGCACATGGGTATGGGCACATGGGTATGGGCACATGGGTATGGGCACATGGGTATGGGCACATGGGTATGGGCACATGGGTATGGGCACATGGGTATGGGCACATGGGTATGGGCACATGGGTATGGGCACATGGGTATGGGCACATGGGTATGGGCACATGGGTATGGGCACATGGGTATGGGCACATGGGTATGGGCACATGGGTATGGGCCACATGGGTATGGGCACATGGGTATGGGCACATGGGTATGGGCACATGGGTATACATGGGTATGGGCACATGGGTATGGGCACATGGGTATGGGCACATGGGTATGGGCACATGGGTATGGGCACATGGGTATGGGCACATGGGTATGGGCACATGGGTATGGGCACATGGGTATGGGCACATGGGTATGGGCACATGGGTATGGGCACATGGGTATGGGCACATGGGTATGGGCACATGGGTATGGGCACATGGGTATGGGGGCACATGGGTATGGGCACATGGGTATGGGCACATGGGTATGGGCACATGGGTATGGGCACATGGGTATGGGCACATGGGTATGGGCACATGGGTATGGGCACATGGGTATGGGCACATGGGTATGGGCACATGGGTATGGGCACATGGGTATGGGCACATGGGTATGGGCACATGGGTATGGGCACATGGGTATGGGCACATGGGTATGGGCACATGGGTATGGGCACATGGGTATGGGCACATGGGTATGGGCACATGGGTATGGGCACATGGGTATGGGCACATGGGTATGGGCACATGGGTATGGGCACATGGGTATGGGCACATGGGTATGGGCACATGGGTATGGGCACATGGGTATGGGCACATGGGTATGGGCACATGGGTATGGGCACATGGGTATGGGCACATGGGTATGGGCACATGGGTATGGGCACATGGGTATGGGCACATGGGTATGGGCACATGGGTATGGGCACATGGGTATGGGCACATGGGTATGGGCACATGGTATGGGCACATGGGTATGGGCACATGGGTATGGGCACATGGGTATGGGCACATGGGTATGGGCACATGGGTATGGGCACATGGGTATGGGCACATGGGTATGGGCACATGGGTATGGGCACATGGGTATGGGCACATGGGTATGGGCACATGGGTATGGGCACATGGGTATGGGCACATGGGTATGGGCACATGGGTATGGGCACATGGGTATGGGCACATGGGTATGGGCACATGGGTATGGGCACATGGGTATGGGCATATGGGCACGGGCACATGGGCACGGGCACATGGGCACGGGCGCAGGGCACGGGCACATGGGCACAGGCGCAGGGTCATGGGCGCAGGGGCATGGGCGGAGGGTCATGGGCGCAGGGACGCAAGGGCATGGGCACAAGGGCAGGGGTGCAAGGTCAGGGCACAAAAGCAGGGGCATATGAGTCCAATACATGGGCAAGGCACCTTTCCTGAGTGCATCCCCCAGGCGTACCTCCCCCAGGCGTACCTCCCCCAGGCGTACCTCCCCCAGGAGTACCTCCCCCAGGCGTACCTCCCTCGGGCGTACCTCCCCCAGGCGTACCTCCCCCAGGCGTACCTCCCCCAGGAGTACCTCCCTCGGGCGTACCTCCCCCAGGCGTACCTCCCCCAGGCGTACCTCCCTCGGGCGTACCTCCCCCAGGCGTACCTCCCCCAGGCGTACCTCCCTCGAGCGTACCTCCCCCAGGCGTACCTCCCCCAGGCGTACCTCCCTCGAGCGTACCTCCCCCAGGCGTACCTCAGCGCAGCTGCATTTTCCGTCCTTCTGTGTGTATGCGTACCCAGTCTCGGTGGCAAGGCCTCCCCCACTGCAGCGTCCTTGCCCCAGGTGAACCTCCCATATGTGTACCTTGTTGCGGTTGCATTTGCCGTCCTTCTGCGTGTACGCATAGCCAGACTCGCACGCGAGCCCCCCCCACTGCATCGTGGCATCCACCATGTAGTCCAGCGCTGCCGTCGGCCACCCGCCCGCCGCACAGCTGCTGCCGGTGCTGTTCCTGCAATCAAGTATCTGCGGGGTTGGGAGGTGGGGAGGGGACAAGAGAAGAGCGCTGTGGAGGTGAGCCCCCCCCCCCCCCTCCACGTGAGCGTGGCGTCCACCATGTAGTCCAGTGCTGCTGTCGGCCACCCGCCCGCTGCACAGCAGCTGCCGGTGCTGTTCCTGCAATCAAGTATCTGCGGGGTTGGGAAGAAAAGGGTAACGGGGTGCCAGGTTAACGTGGCGATGAGACCACCCCCCCACTGCATTGTGGCATCCACCATGTATGTATGTAGTCCAGCGCTGCCGTCGGCCACCCGCCCGCACTGCAGCTGTTGCCGGTGTTGCTCCTGCAGTCCAGAATCTGAAGGTAAGGGAAGAAAAGGGTGAGGGGTGCCAGTTCAATGTGGCGCCGAGACGCCCCCCCCCCCCCGCTGTCGGCCACCCGCCCGCTGCACAGCTGGTGCTGTTCCTGCAGTCAAGCACCTGAGGAGTTGGAGAGTACGGAACTCACAAACCCGGCGCGCACCTGTTGGTGAGCTTGCAATCAAGAACCTGATGCTGCTGCTGCTGCTGCTGCTGCTGCTGCTGCTGCTGCTGCTGCTGCTGCTGCTGCTGCTGCTGCTGCTGGTAGGTGCAAGTGCAAGCTACGCGAACACGCTGTAAGCTGCTCGCGCATAAGCACACATGATGACTCAGCAGTAGAAATTGCTCAGGTTGAAGCATATGTGCTGGGGTAGCAGCCTCCGCACCTGTTGTACCGATAAGCGTTGGGGGGGATCCATGGAGGGCGTCGAGGCAGCCACTAACGCGTACGCCATTTCCACCGCGCTCACTGCAGTGATGGCCCATGATGCCTCTGGTGGGGGGAGGGGGGAGGAACGGGCGGAGGGGAGGGGGAGGAAGGGGCGGAGGGGAGGGGGGAGGAAGGTTCAGATGGAAGGGGGGAGGAAGGGGCGGAGGGAAGGGAGGAGGAAGGGGCGGAGGGCTTAGTGGGAATATACGCTTATTGCGTATATACGCTTATCGTATATACGCAATCTTACATACGCTATACGCTGTAGGGACGGGTTTGGAAATACGCTTTTTCGGGCAGGAAAAAAACTTCCCGGGCAGGGTCAAAAAAAGCCGCGGGGGGGGGGGGGGGGGTATGGGGGTGGGGTATGGGGCCTGAAGTTTCAGAGATTTTTTTTTTCCACATTACACATATACCACGGCCTACACATAACTACTGTCATCACTACTATCATCACTATCATCACTACTATCATCACTTACCATCATCACTTACCATCACTACTA